GTTTTTGCAAGATCTTCGTGATTTTTATCAGGTTCATATAAAACATTTGTATCATTGAAAATTTTTCTCTTATATTGACATTCAATCACATTAATCAATTTTTGTCTCTCTAACTGTGGTTGTTTGTCTTGATTTAATAAGATCTTATGGCCTTCGTCAAGTTTATCTTCGTCAACACCCTTTACATAAACAAGTTATTGTCCAGGTAGAATTATAGTACTAGATTTAAAGTAAGGTTAGTCTCAAGATAAGTTTTTAAGCATGTTCTTATCCTCTTTGTGATTCCTATTTGTTTCTTCAATAAGCAAAAATAGATTTTTTTTTCATTAAATGAATACACATAATCATATTAACCATGAGAATTTGCATGAACTGGTTCAATGATAAGTTGGTTGTGGGCATCATTTTCGACACATATCTATCTTCTTTCTCGATTTATGTTTGCATGCAACTTTAGTGTCTTGAATCGATTTTACATTGGGTCATTGAATATAATATTAATGTCATCAAGCCTTGCCTGGTTTGTATTGGCTCCTTAAAAACTATTACTGTTATTGAATAACAATCTAACTGATTTTGAATAGCATGCATCACTTAATCATCGTTATAAAAATAGTTATTACCAACTGCTTTATAATTTTCTTTATAGTTTTTCATCAATTCAGATGTTAATCTACTTTTATATCATTTGATGTGCAATGTATAACAAAAAAAAAAATTAGAGTTTTAAAGCCATAAGGTTACAAATCAAATTGTAAACAAATCTAGAGAAGATTATTTTGTATTTTCATTGAATTTGAATAGTAGCCTTCATCTTCATGAAAAAAATATTTTTAATTAAAACTTATTTATTTAATAGAATTCATCTGGTAAAATATTAATTATATTAAAAGTTGTAAATTAAATCAGAAATATATAATTAAAATCTAAAATTAACTAGAAATTAATTAAAATAGAAATACAACAACTTCAATCTTTGTTTAAGATGTTTTCAGATTTTGTTATGGATTTCTTTTAGGTTTGACTTTATTAATATATTCTGTAAAGTGAGTTTAGTCTAGGTGTTGTCTTTTTTTTTTTTTACCTCATATAATAGATCTAAGTTTAAAAAGTGTTTTTTGATGTTGGATTGATTTTAAATTTTTGAAAGGATTTTTAGGGTTTTTAAGATAATATACAAATTTTATCAAAGTGTTTGTGATTTTTTAAATATTTTAAATAAAAAACAAATTAAAATTAACTTTTTAGACAGATAAAACCCAAGGCGTGACTTTTTTTATAACTAGAGATCGCTGGAAACTAGCTTGATGCCTCTTATTATTAAAAAAAATTAAAAACTATTTTTTTTATTAAATTTTAAGCAAATAAGGTTTTGACTGCATATTGTTATTTGGCAGTGCTTTTAAAAAGTGTTTTAAAAAAAAATTAATATTTTTTTTGATATTTTTAAATTATTTTAATATATTAATCTTAAAAATAATTTTATAAAATAAAAAATATTTTAAAAAATAACCACAATCACTATTATTATATAATGGTATTCTCGTGGATAGGTGAAGAGTTAAAAGTGTTTCTTTATTTTTATATCTGGTCCAGAGAAATCCTATACTTTGATTTGGATTCTATCCAGATTAAAGGTGGTTTAAGTCCTTTCATTCAATTCGGTTATAAATTATACAATCACATGTAATATGATGTAATTGGACGGAAGGTTTTAAAGTGCCTCTAAGAGCAAATGCTTTGAGGAGGGAAGTGCTAGTGTTGTTGTTAACATTAACACACTTTGTATCTTGGTTTGTCACTTTCCGCCCGCATGAAATGATGATTCCTTTGTAATATATTCATAATTTCTTTTTCATTTTTTTAACATGGATATAATATTAATGTCATAAAGACTGAAACTCGGCTTTACATTTAAGGGTATTGATTTCCATTTACTGCAATTACATGGGATTCAGAAATGGTTTCAAATCTATGTTTCTATAAAATAGCAATCCGCACTTCTCTTTTGGGAATGTTTAGCGTTTGGGTGGTAACATTGTGGAAGTTATTGTTTAAAGTATTTTTTATTTAAAAATATATTAAATTATATTTTTAATATAGTACATCAAAATAATCTAAAAATATAAAAAATATTAATTTAAAATATTTTTAAAATATAAAAACAAACAAGATTTTAATAGCTAACACCATATATTTTCTCTCTCTACATTACAATAGTTTTTATAGTTATTAAATTTGAATACAATATAAACTTTGACATAAGTCCTAACCATAGATTATTAGATAAATTAACTAGATTTTGGTCATGCTGATTTTTTTTTTAAAATATAAAATAATAATATTTTAATTTTTTAACAAGATAAAAGATTAGTTAGTTTTGATTGAATAGATTAACTTTAAAGTCAAACCAAACCCCTTAACTGAACGTAAACAGGCACTTAACTAATGACAGATGGCGACATCTCTTTTATTGAGGTACACTAACTTTGATGTCGTTTGTTTATGGGGTGGCGATTGTGTTTAAAGCAAAATGCAGGAGCCAAACGTTTGGTAAAAACAAAATAATGATTACTGTTCATGGCCGATAGTTTATTGTGTTTGCAATGCAAGGTTAAAAGAAGCAGCCAAGGGCTGCATTCACACGCGTCCCACTTGTTTTTGTAAATAATTGAGGTTTTTATTTCTATGCACTTTACCTATCGTAAGAAATTAAATTCATGGGGTGCTAGATATTTATGCCTGGATAAAGTAATTTATTATACTTTACTATCAAAGAAATTCTTTTCTCTATATGTCAATACTAAGCCATCACCAGCTTTTTTCTTATAAATGATGATTATGATCATGTTTGGATTATAATTAAATTATAGTTATTTTTTAATTTTTTAAAATAAAAAATTATTATTTTAATATATTTTAAAACATAAATATGGTAAAATAAAATAAAAAAAATATTATTTTATTATGTTTTATTTAATAAATTAGTGTTTAACATTATTCAATGATATTAATGATAAATTAGATAGAGATTGCAATTCTAATTTTATTTTTAATAATATTTCACGTGATATCATTGCGTACTTGAGAAATTAAAAAAATTATAGTGCTTGTCAGATATGTTTCATACGTGATAGAATTGTAAATAGCTTAATGGAATAATAAAAAATATTTTATATAAAATATTATTTATTTTATGATTTAATTGTAGTGGTTAAATTTAAAATATTTAAATTAAAAAATATCAATATTAATATATATGTTTTAAAATTATTTTATAATCTTAATTTGGAAAATATTTTTTACTAAACATGTTAAATTATTATTTTTATTTAATTTTAATTTTAATCATAATTTTAATTAAATATATATAAATATTAAACTAATTTCAATTAAAATAATTTTTTTAAATTATAACAATAAAAACTAACACAGAACAAATAGAAATAGACTTTCCTTGCTGCCCACCGCGAGTTGCCACAACCAGCATGTAAGGCCTGCGACGTGGACAGCGTTTTTGTTTGCCATGTCATATGTGATCCTGTCATTCACTTTTTTGTCTTCATATTTGTTTTTCTCCACTGTCCACGTGACAATTGTCTTTTATTTTTTGGGGCATGCAAAGAGGGTATGTCAAGGATATTTAGAGAATGTACTGACAATCGTGTATGAGAAAGTATAATAAGATCCTTTTTTATTATATAGTTCTTAATTCCGTAAACTTTTCAATATCCCTGATAATTTTCCTCTTTATCAAATATTTTATTCAAGTCTTGCTTGTCTACCATCATGCAAGCAGATTGTAGGGGATTTTACGTGTAAGGTATAATAATAGTTATTTTTTAAAATATTTTTTGTTTATAAATATATTAAAATAATATAAAAATACTAAAAAAATTATTTTTTTCAAAAACAAACATGTCCAATCATAAACTAATTATCCTAAGTCAAGCTTATCATTTTTTTTTCTGGTCTCTGGAAAAAAATAGAACATAAGAAAGAAGAAGAACAAAAAACCTTTTTTAGAATCTATAATTTATAGCTTCTGGACTATAATCAAAAGCCACAACCACAACTTTCCTAAACGGATCCATGGAGTCTTTAATCCACTTATATAATTACATGTGTGATCACATTGCAACAATTTCTCACGAACAGGAGTTTACCTAGAGGGATTGATTTCAATTTGAAAAACTAAATGAAGTCAATGGATTTATTTGACCAAACTTGAAATGCAAGGACGATTTTGGTCCTACTTTTGTGAGATGCCGGTCTTATTTAACGTGTCATGCTGAGCCTGTTTAATAGACGGTTTGATTTGACGGTGGGGTAGAGAGCGATGCTGCGGCTCATTTGTGGCCGTCGTTTGATCTTTTAGAGTGGTCTGTTGTTGATCGTCAAAAGTCAAGTAGTCTAGCAGTGGTGGTATTTCGTAGGGTTGTTTATATCCGTGGAGAAAAAGCTGAGGGGCTGATTGGTGGCCACGTCACTTTTGATGGGCCCAAGTATCTGGGTCGCTAACAAGTTGACCGTTGTCATCTTGTGGTTTTGCACTCTAGGATATATGGTATAGGCCCATAAACCCATGGACCTAAAATTACAGGAGTCGATCCACGGCCCTATTATTTTTCGATATCAGGAAATAGATTTCATTAATTTTTATTTAAAAAACTGTGAAAAAAAAAGAACCTAAGCATAAATCCCAAAGAAATATATCCAATTAAATGGTATTTATGCTTGTGTTTTCAATTTGAATAGAAAGTTAAGAAACTTGTATAAATTTTGTGTATGAGAATTGATTTGGTCTATTGGGGGTTCAAAAATAATGAGTAAAAATATAATATAATTTAAAATAAGATTTTTTTAATATAAAAATCAAATCAGAAGCATAATAGATGGATTAGATAAACCCAGCAATTGTTATCAATCCAAGTTGATAACAAAAATTATCAAGTCAGAAACATGAATCTTTATCATTCTCTTGTTTTTTTTTCCCCGCCTTATCTACGGCGGTTACCAAGAAACCTATTTGCTTTTTCTACGAAAGGACAAGAAGAGCTTACGAATCCATTCACCAAATGCAGGTAAGTCTTCAAATCATGACATGTCGCTACGTTAATGCTGTTGAGATATGGAGAATCCTTGCTACTAAGTCTTAGCTCCCTCCCAACTTCTGCATAGACCCACTGTGTATTCTCCATCCTTTTTTGGATCCAACTTGGAAAGCTTGCCATACTGAGGTCTCCTTTATCTGCCACATCATTCTGATCTCCATCGATAACAAATCCAGGTAATTTTGTTATCACATCATCCGAATTTACTATGCGTAGGACTTTCGTTCCTTGTTTATCCAGGAGCTGTCTGAAACTCCGGTTACCGACACGTGGACCCCCGAAAGAAATGACAGTCACAAGTACTGGCACGCGGTTGAATGTAGTCTTGATGTCATAAGCTGCAAGAGTAGCAAGAGCAGCCCCGAGACTATGGCCTGCAATGGTTAAGCTAAGAGGTTCATCTCCATAAGTTTGGAGTAGCCTTTTGGTCTCTTCACGCACCATTTCTTGTAAGCTAGGGCGAATTGGAGTTCCTGAAGTGTAAAGGCTCAAGAACCCACGTTCTACCATGGGCCCGCTTTCGTCAGAGCCGTTTTTATCACATTCTGTATTTGGGAGTTGGGTCAGGGTTGCTCTAAGATTCTCCAGCCATTCAAGGCAAGTGGCAGTCCCTCTAAAAGCAATCACCACGTCTCTGCGCCCTAGCCTCGCAATTTCTGCCTTATTTTGAGACACGGCTGCGTATCCAATCCAACTGGACTGGGTAAACATCCAACTGGGTGCTTTTTCCATCCAACGTGGAAGCTGGATTCCTGATGTTGCACGTAGATGTTTGGTTACCTGGTAACCAGTATCTCGTAAACCGGAACGTTCAAACAATGTGCGCTTTGGGAAACGGCAGTTTGCATATGTGGGTGATGAAGGATTAAAGTCGAAGGATTTATAAGCAGCATCGACAAAGTCCCCGTAACGAAGTATTTCTCCGCGTAAATTATCATCGAGAGGGTCAAGCAAACCTTCCCAGTTTCGAATACCTTGATATTCCATCCATTTCCGTCTTAGTTTAACCGGCCGGCCGGACGAAGTGGAATCATTCCGGACCGGGTTGCGCAAGCCTTGCCATTTTCTTAAGGATTGGCTTTGTATAAACTTTTTGTTGATTCTTGTGCGTTGAGTGAGAATATTGCAGCTCTCTAATGTCATGTCTCTAGTGGGTGGGATTATGCATGGCTTTGCGAATCCAACAGTCTTCATTTTGGTTTTTCGTATATGGAGGAGGGGAGCTTGATGGGAACTTTATTGTTTTTAGATGTGAAAAGGGTAAAGAAGAAAAGAGAGATAGGCAAAGGATGGAACTGGAGGAATTAAGTTCTCGGTGTCGGCGATTGGTGGCTTCAAGGGGTTTCGTAGGGTCCTTTTCATAGGGAGAAAGAAAAACAACAGGAATTTATCGAAGAGAAATTGAAGTAAGACGTAGAAGAAAGAGAAGATATGGAGAGAGTGTACTTTTGCTTTTAACCTTTCAACTTTATTTGTTTGGTAGAATGGGAGGGGAGAAAACTCAATTTAATTACAATGAATCTTACAAGCGACAGATTGCAATTACCATTTACATCAACTTAATATTTGGTAACTAGATTTAGATTGTTGTGTCTCATTCTCAATGGATATGAATCCTCCAAGTGACAGCTTGTAATTACTAATTACCACTTATATCAATTGAATATGTGGTAATTAAGTAGGATAGTATTAGATTCTCCTGTCTCATCCTCGTTAGATGATAAATCCTCACATGCTTATCCCTAATAGATGATAAATGCGAATTTGTATTCCTTTTTTTTTCATTTTTTATTATATCCTTTTCATTTAAATTGTTAATTAAATCCAAAATAAATATAACATGCACTAATCTAAAATAAATATATCAGTCATGGTGATTTTCATGAGTAATAAAAATAATAACAATTAACTGTACTTGTAGTGAAGTATTAAAGAAAGAAAAGGATCAACGAGAGCAAGGATATAAAAAAGGTAGAGTGCTAAAAAGATAGATAGTTGAAAGTTTAGCTATGTCATTGTTCATTTTTTTAAAAAGAAAAACATTTATAAAAAAAATATATCTCTATCTATTTCTTTATTTTTACTTTTATTTATTTATTTTTAAATAAATTCAAGAAATAATTAATATAATACCTATTATTATTCTTATTCGTTAAAGACGGTACAATTTCTCATGTGCGGTTGGTAGGTGCAAGCGTTGCATCAGGGGACGAGGGGATGATGAGAGAGATGATTACGGGATGTGGGGTCAAATCAAATCCAATGGTCCCCCTTCAGTCAAAGCTTAAAGTTTTGACCAGTAGAAATAGCACTCTCACTGCTCAAGTCCGAAGCAGCGGCAAATTCCATTTTCCGACAGCATACATAACATGTTGCGTCAATGTTTGTTTCGTCCCTCTGTTTTTAGTTTTATGTTTTTTTGATCCCCCTTCTATTTCTTATCTTCGTTTCATCCTTTATTTTGTACTACCGATCTGATGATTTTTTTCCTGTCATTTTCTTTTGAAATTTACGAGAAAAACCACAATTTACTCCAAAATAACAGTAAAATTATATATCATCTTGCTTTATTGTCACCGTTTTATATTTTATTATTTTTTAAGATAGTATTTATCTCATCCACTGTTTATGATTATTTGATTTAATTTATAGTCAAATCTGAGTTTCATTTAAAAGACTAGAACCTTAAAGCGGACGGTTCATTCTAAACTTTTTATACTTCTGTTTTATTTTATTTTATTTTATTTTTCATTATATATGTTATATTTCTCTAAAAGTGATTTTCCTAAAGTTGGCTGAAAGGCTATAAAACTAAAAAGAAAGAAGAGTTAAGGGATGACAATGCGAAAAAACTTATTAAGTGGACGAAAGCAACACATGAATGGAAATAGAAGGATCAAAATCACCATGAACCCACGATATTTGAACATGGCCCCGTGCCCCCGTTTGATGGGGCTCGGCTGCCGTTTTGAAAGAAAGCGATGCATGCCTGATGCTCTAACGTAGGAGGGAGATAATGACGTGTTTTGCGTTAAGATATCGTGTGAACACTTTCCCATGTGGTCACGACAGTTGTTTGGTGCAAACAAGGTAGCGCCTCAGTTCTTATCTTTAAAAACTGTTTTGTTAGTTTACGTGAATAAAAAAAAAAAAACGAAAGATTATTGGAGGAGGTTAGTACAGTAGATGATATAAAATTAATTAAGCGAGCTCTAAATATTCTTTAACTCATGCTTTTGAATAAAAGTTTTTTAAGTTAAAATTTATATATGTTTAAATTACCTTAGATTATTAATTAATCTTAATTATAAAAGAGAATATAGATATTAAACTTGAATTAGTGAATATTTATTTAATCAATAAAATTTTAATACCATATTAAAAAATTATTTAAATACTAAAATATAGGTAATGTTTCATGATATAACTTATATTAAAAAAAAACACAATGAATATATATAAATATATGCACTTCGAAATAACATTTTTTCCAAGATAATTTTTTAAGTTTTAAAAACAATAGATTTTATTTATTTATTATAGTATATAATTCCTCAGTTTATTTGATTATATATTTGCATATAAACTTTGTGAATTGTAATTAAATTTTTTAAATTGTAAAAATACAATAAAAATATTTACATATATAATTTTTTTATAAAAATAAAAATACATAACCTATAATATAATGCAAGTCTTATAACTTGGTTATATATGCTAAACCAGCCACAAACAAAACTATTTACCTAATCTCTATGCTTTTCTCTTCTAGTAATGGTTGATATTAGATTTTTATTTTTATTTTACTTAATTATTCATTGAGCAGAAACTTTAAATATATCAAAGATTCAAAATTATAGGTATTCATTATTCAAGTAGTGTTTATTTTATACATACACACACGCTAATGAATGTAAATATCCTAACGCTAATGTATATATCTCCTATGCAAAAAGGCCCACCTCCTCTTCCTCCTCCACATCGTCAGGACAAACAATAATTGAATCATTTCCACAAGTAGCTAGGGAGGCACAGAGAGCCTTTCTTTTTTCAAGGGCAGATCCAAATGCCCAAGTGATACGCACGCCAGAAATGACAAATATAACCATGCATGGTTGCGTGTCATGTGGCCACTGGCACAGGGGAAAACTGTACTATTTAATTAATGCTCAATATATCATCAGAATGATTGAAAAGCCTCGGGAATTTTCCTGCAGGGTATCTTGTCCAGATGGCAAGCGCGTGCTTCTTCCGTTCCATTCAAAATTTCTTTTCCATATTAGTCAACAGTTTTTGTTTTAGAAGGATTCTTACAGAAACATCAGTAACAGTTCATTTTGTTACAGTGTTGTCTGATAATTCAAGTTTAAAGCACGGTTGGGTTTTTTTATATGGTATTACAAACTTAGATAATTATGAATTTTAATTATATCATTCTCATTAATAATAATAAATGTATACAAGTTATAATTTAAAAAAAATTTAAAAAAGCATGATAATAATTTAATATAAAATAATTTTTAAAATATAATTTATATTTTTTTAATATATATTTTTTTATTTTTATCGAATAAAATAAAAATGATAAGATTTAAACTCATAACCATTTAAGTGATAATACTACTATATCAAATAATCATTTCAATCAAATAATCACTTCAACCAAATAATTTAAGATATTAAATAAAATATAAATATATATTTTATATTCTTTTATTATATTCTTTTACATCTAGAATGGTGTGCAATTTCATGATGCATGTTACATGAGTTTATTCCAATGTGTACATGTTATGGCATACATTTTTCTTTAAAAAATATTAGTTAGCTTGGATATCAGCTTGGTGCTGCAGGGATTAAGACTTTTTAAAACATGAAAAAAACATCTAGGTTTAAGAGAATATTTTTACTATTGTTATTAGATTTGAAAATACAAATGTTTTTAGTTTTTTTAATTAAATTAAATTTTCTTAATAACATTTCTCTTGTTTATCTTAACGAATACAAGCTGGAATGATTGTTTTTATTAAAATTAAAAATATATTTTATGATTGTTACATCAAAGTAACAAAAAAACATCAAAGTAATATGTCCATGTTTTATGTGTGATTGAAAATGAAAAATAAAATAAAATAAATGTGATTAAATCATGTTCAAAATCTATTTTAAAATTTAAAAAATAAATAAATAGAATTTCATCAACAATTCATTATTAGTATTAATATTTTCATACCATATCTATAATGATTGAAAAAATATTATTAAAAATCAAACAAAAACTTATAATATTATTTAAGAACAATGTCAAAGCTAAAGAGTAAAGAAATATGATAATTGTTTTTGGAGAGCCAAAAAAAAACCAAAGAAAAAAAATAAAAAGGATCAGACCTAACATTTGACCCACAATAATAGGTGAGGCTCATGTATTGTATCTAACTCTCTTTTATAATTATTTTTATTGAATAAATAGACAATATATCATGTACTTTTTTAAAAAAAAATGAAAGACAACATGTCATTTATCATAATTTTTTAAAAATATTTGTTGTCATTAGTGCTCAAACCTATGACCCCAATAGACTCGAGGCACACGTACTTGCCCACACCCTCCTATTACACACACATTATCTTTATTTTATTGTTCATATGAACAATAAAGAACCATTAAAAATCTTAGATTTTTTAGAGTGTTAGTATAATACTAGATTCAATGTCTGCGCTCTACTACGAGTCAAATCAAAATCCAATTATTGCATAAAAAGAGATGCATAAGAGTTGTTATTATATTTTTTTGCATGTGATGAAATATTTAAAATGAGGATAAAAGACTCAACTAGTGTATTAGATCAAATTAATCGACCACCATATGTATTAATAAATACAAAGTGAAGTTATTGTGGCTTGTTCAACGTAGCAAGTCAAGAGCTGTGAAACCCCAGAAAATTATAGTTTAGATATGCAGGTGACCTAGTGAAAACTCTATAAAA